TATTTTCAGGAGATCGACTAGATCACTTTGATGAGCAATCAAATCAAGAATCACCAACATAAAAAAAGTAAGTTCACATTGAACCTACAATAAAAAAGTACAAATACAGAAGTAGTAGAATTGAGAAGATCACCAGGCATAGAGAATAAACAATTACTTCATATTACATTGTCTATCTTCAATAGTCTGATTTTGATGTTTGAGCAAGTAATGATCCCAAGTCATTTTTTGCAAGTCATGTATGGAGATAAATCTATGCTTTGGTATGATGCCGTGTTAGAAGAAACTGCATCTACAACTAAAAATTAAGTTTAAGACATTGTTAAACGACCATGAGGATCTACAGCCATTGGAATTAAATGAGCCTATGAGGCCCAAAAGAAGGCAAATAGGGTAATATTAAATGATATAAAGCTAAACTTATTGCTATAGTTTCACTCAACAACAACATCAAGCCTTTATCCCACTACGCGGGATACTTTTTCTCCATTGTGTCCTGTTAAGAGTCAAATTCTAGTTTAAATTTAATAAAGAAAGGTCATTCTAATATTTTATAACCAAGTCTATTTAGGTCTACAAAAAGAATATAGTTTCACTCAAAAGGAAATTATAAATTATAATTAAATTGTCTTTGTAGATTAAAAAAATAATTCATTAAAGGTAATCATGACTTCTATAGCTTATTATATTAAATTTATGTACATTATTTTTAATGGTGCTTGAAGTGATAGTGCATATGACTCAACTTGAAGTTTTTGCGATGAAAAAATAATCATTTGGTTTATAAGTTGAAATTATATATAGATTAAAACAAGCTTCTTTTTGACGAAGCATAAAAATGCATAATATTGTCAACTCACTTGATTTTATAGAAAATATTGAGATATCAGTTAAGTATATTGGAAAAAAAAAACACATATATTAAGGCATATTTTGATGTTATTGTTAGAGTTTTGTTACGAACTCCAATGTTAAGTGTGCCCTTGTTGGGGCATTTTTTAAAAAAACCATTAGGCTTGTGAGGCCAAAGCATGTAACATCTTGATGGGTAAAATTTCAGGTTGTTTTAAGTAATATCAAAGTTGATGATTTGGCAATTGACGAGCGATTCATGTAGTTTGTGTTCTATGAGCCTTTGAGGGATTCCACTATGGTCAAGTGAGGGTCAAGAATGGTGACTCTATAGTAGCTCTCCACGATTGAGTCAGCTCTTGGTACGCGATGTTTGATGATGTTATTATAAGGGGGAGATTGTTAAGACAACTTTATTGGGTTTAATCCCATATTGAATAGCTGAAAAAACATATTGGTGTTGAAATACGAAGTGGTTGACATTACCCACAGGTTCATTGCCTAAATGCATCAACCCAACTTTATAACCCAAAAAGTTTTTGAACATCATCAAGTATCTTGCACTAAAAAACTACTTAAAGATGTCTTGGGAGTCACTAATTTTTGAACCTTGCTCAACCATAACTGAAGGTTTCAAGAGCCATGGGGGAGCCAAAAATATGCATGTACCACTTGATCCCAGTTAAATCATTGACTCTGCTATTTACAGTTGCTGGGGGTGAACCTATAGGAGACCAAAGTTGGGCTCGATATGTGAGTGGCCATACACCTTTTCAACCCAAAAGATTAAGGTAATGAAAGAGAGCCAATCAATATGTAATACCCAAAATTTTCATATAAAAATACTATTTTTTTTTAATTAAATTATAACCCAAAATCTCAACTTTCCCAAAAGTCATCAACAAACATGTCATTGCGTTCTACTCGTTGATTGGAGCAATTTGATATATAGAACTATAGGTCAATTTGCTAAGGATTCGAAGATAGGAAATTAAATCTTTTTTGTATTTTTTACTTGAGTTATAAAATGATTTTACTGTTCAAATATGTTTTTTTACTGTAGCTAAGGGTAGATAGTGGGACAGATGACTTACATGCAATGTTTTGGTGGAAGGGCAATTCGGTAAAGATCCTACCTCAAGCCCTTTAATTCAAATTTTGCCTAAACTGAGCCATTCTAAGGAGGAAAGACTTCAGTTTTATGTTGCAGCGGATGAGGGGAGAATAAATCGAAAGCTGCAGCTGTTCTTGGCCAAAGCGGAAGCTGCAGTTGGTCATGGAGTTGGCCGAAAGAGGTAAGGTGCTGGAATGGTGGGCTCGGTTGAGTGCAGGTGTTGGGTTGGTCGGTTAAAATGGGGAGTGAAGAAGCTGTTTGGTAAGGGTGGATTTTGAAAGCCGGGAAGGTAAGGAGAAGAAATTAAGGAAGTAGGAAGAATAAATCAAGGAAGAGAAGAGAAAGCGATAAGAGGTAAGGAAAGTTAGTTGGTGCTTGAAGGTAAGAAATTTCTTTAATGCCTCTAGGTAATTTGTAGGATTTGTGAATGCAATGATTCTAGTTATCATTGCTTAGTGGATAACTAGGATATCGAAGTGCAATGTGAATGGGTATCGATAGACATGTATGCGAGGTAAAAATTTGGAAGGTATGTTGTTTGGGAATTGAATTAACTGTATGAGTCAAATAATAGATGTGAGGATTTTCAATTAATAATTCAAGTTGATGAAGGTACCTTACACATGCAGGCGAGGGCTAGGTGTCCAAATTGGTGAGTCTGCACGTCGGTAAGGTAAGATATGCATTTTTAGTGTAATATGAAAGTTGATTGAGTAGACATGCAACCATTTTACATATAAATCAGTTATTTTATTATATGACGTTTCTATGTACAATTCTATAATCTATTATACGATGAGTCACAACATAAGATTCATATAGTCATACCTGCTTATTTGCGAATACGCTTGACTGCTATATTAGATTGTCCGCATATGCATATTTCTATACATAGGCAAGTGCACACAACTTGAAAGAAAAAACGTAATGATCAGAAAAGCCCGAGAATTTGTCATGTTACATGGCAGATGAAGGGAGCAATGCGACCCAGTAGAGGCAGTGCGACCTTGGTATGATATGAAGTTTACGGGCTATGATATGAAGCCTATGGTGATAGAGGCAGTGTGACCTTAGGAGCCTACAAGCTATGATATGAAGCCTATGGGAAATATAGGCAGGACGATCTCATGAGCCTATAGGCTATGATATGAAGCTTACGGGCAATAGAGGCAGTATAACCTCAGGTACCTATGGACATGACAATTTTTAAGGCTAAAAAACATAAGTTATTTGATGAACTAAAATGTATAAGGATGATTACATATTATGATGTATGATTAACTCATAGAATGTATTTGACATGATTGATGATTGGCAGTATGTGACATGTGATAATGATATTGACATTATGAG